TGTTGATTTCTTTAGGTATTAACTAGTAAAGGGTTCACATCACCAAAGAACACCTATAAAACGTAGAAGGACTGGAAGTCCCCTGGGCTACCAAGCCAGGGAGGGGGAGGGCTGGGGGCCTCAGCCATGCCCCCAACACCTGCAACCAGCCCAGCAATGGCCACTGAGCCATGGCTGGTAGTGCCCTGGGCTCCTGAGCCATGGTGTTGGGGGGCCGAGAGCCTCAGCCATGCCCCCCCAACATCTGCATCCAGCCCAACCATGACCACTAAGCCACCAGGGAAGCCCCCTGTTTTCCCCTGAAGGAATGAGGGGGGTGCCATGGGCCTCAACCATGACCCATCCTCTCCATTCTCCTCCCACCCTATTTCCTTCCCCATTCCCATCTCCCCCTCCCCCACAACTGTTCTGCAACATCTTAGAACATAAAAAAAAGTAGTAATAAACTTAAAATGATAGCAACATGGAGGATAGAAACAAAAAGAAAGTGAAAGAGAGAAAGAGAGAGAGTGACAGACAGTCAAGACCATAATATGTTGAACTTTCAGAAGGAGAGAAGAAAGCTAAGCAAAGCTAAGGATACTAGAGATGAGTAGGAAGGGAGGGTTGGGGAGTGAGAGGTCAGGTGGAGGGCATGGGGAAGGATTATGATTTGTTATGATGAATATGGTAATAATAAAGATAGAAATAAAAGATACACACTTTCTCAATTCTATCAAGTTTGACACCTTTGTAAACAACGATACCATCCATTTAACCCATCTCTCAACTGAGGATCTTGGAAATTTAATCATGTCAATGTATCTTTTGCACATTATTAACTGAAGAAAAATGGGTGTCCTTTAAGGATTTTTTAAGATTAGGTAACAAGTCAGAAGGAGTCAAATCGGGAACATAAGGTGGATTCCTAACAATTTCCCACTGAACCNAAATAATCCAACACAGAACTGAAAGAAAAAACAAAATACCCACAGACCAGAGACAGAGTTTTATATTAACTAGTAGAGGGCTCACATCATCAAAGAACACCTATAATACCTAGAAGGACTGGAAGTCCCCTGGGCTACCAAGCCAGGGAGGGGGAGGGCTGGGGGCCTCAGCCATGCCCCCAACACCTGCAACCAGCCCAGCGATGACCACCGAGCCATGGCTGCTAGTGCCCTGGGCTCCTGAGCCATGGTGTTGGGGGACCGAGAGCCTCAGCCATGCCCCCCCAACATCTGCATCCAGCCTGGCCATGACCACTAAGCCACCACTGGAAGCCCCCTGGTTTCCCCTGAAGGAATGAGGGGTGTGCCATGGGCCTCAACCATGACCCCTCCTCTCCTTCCTCCTCCCACCCTATTTCCTTCCCCATTCTCGTCTCCCCCTCCCCCACAACTGTTCTGCAACATCTTAGAACATAAAAAAAAATAGCAATAAACTTAAAAGAAAATGATAGCAACATGGAGGATAGAAACAAAAAGAAAGTGAAAGAGAGAAAGAGAGAGAGACAGACAAGACCATAAAATGTTGAACTTTCAGAAGGAGAGAAGAAAGCTAAGCAAAGCTAAGGATACTAGAGATGAGTNAGGGAGGGTTGGGGAGTGAGAGGTCAGGTGGAGGGCATGGGGAAGGATTATGATTTGTTATGATGAATATGCTAATTAAAAAAGATAGAAATAAAAAATACACACTTTCTCAATTCTATCAAGTTTGACTCCTTTGTAAACAATGATACCAGCCATTTAACCCATCTCTAAACTGAGGATCTTGGAAATTTAACCATGTCAATGTATCTTTTGCACATTATTAACTGAAGAAAAACGGGTGTCCTTAAAGGATTTTTTAAGATTAGGTAACAAGTCAGAAGGAGTCAAATCGGGAACATAAGGTGGATTCCTAACAATTTCCCACTGAACCTCCTACAACACTGCCCTTGGCTGATGAGAGGAATGAAGTTCATTGTCTTGGTGGAGAAGGGCTCTCTGGAAAAGCTTTCCTGGGTGTTTTTCTGCTAAAGCTTTGGCTAACTTTCTCCAAACACTCCCCTAATAAGTAGATATTATCCTTCTTTGGCCCTCCAGAAAGTCAACAAACAAAATGTCTTGATCATCTCCCAAAACGGTTGCCACGACCTTTGTTCTTGACCAGTGCATTTTGCTTTGACTGAACCACTTTCTCTTGGTAGCCATTGCTCTGATTGTGCTTTGTCTTCAAGATCTTCATCTCACTTGTTTAAAATTTCCATTGAAAGCTTTGCTCTTGTCTGCAGCTGATTTGGGCACAACAGTTTTGGTACCTATCAAGTGAAGAGTTTGCCCAACTTTAATTTTTCAGTCAGAATTGTGTAAGCTGAGCCAACTGAGATGTCTGTGGTGTTGGCTACTGTTCCTGCTTTTAGTCATCATTCCTCTTCAATGAGGGCACAAATGAGATTAATTTTTTCCTTGCAAACTGATGTTGGTATTCTGCTGCTGCAAGCTTCAGCACCA